AGTAAATTGTTTTGCACTAATTAAATAGGGATAGTCTATACTTATATAGTTAAGCAAGTAAATTGTTTTGCACTAATTAATAGGGATAATTTTTAATAAGCAGTTTTAATATAACAACCGGAAAAAATGCTTACCGGTTACGCCACATCTACAAAAACCTGTCACCGAATGTAATGTATCAATTAGCATTTGTGCATTATACTCTTCAATATGGTTAATCAATAAATTACGGAAAATTTCCGGATTAGTATAAGAAATGGTTGCAAGAATGGTTCGTGCCTTAATTCTCAAAAAAATCACTTTGCTGTGATCGTAAGCCATCATTACATCCATATGGACAACCTAGCCATAAATATGTCCTGAAAATTTTCCAATATTATTTGTTGAATTTTATAAATTATATTCAACAGGTAAACAACAAAGAAAAGAAAAGTAATATAAATATCGTAGCGATTAAGAAATTATGGTAATTATTATGATTATGATTATTATTTGGAAGTTATGATAGTCATTATGATTATGATTAGGATTATGATTTAGTAATTATGATCCGAAATGAAATTAAAACAACGGTTTCATTATAAATCAACTATTTCCAACGAAATAAGCCTATAAACCGGATATTTTCCCTAATTAATTAGCTAATTAATAAGACGAAAAGAAATGTAAACATTATTCATTTTAAGTAAAATATACTGGAAATGATAAGATAATGAATTAATTACTATTTATTGATATCAAAAATATGGAAAGGAAAAACTGAAATACCTAAGGACTATATTAATGCAATCATCGAAAAATGATTGTAATTCTGTTTCAGGCATTTCCAATAAACTTTCACATATATTTAATGCTAATTCATAAATTCGAACGGATGAACGTCGTTCGATAGCAAAATTAATTGCTTTTAATAAAATGATAAAACTAATTTGTCCATTTTGTTCGATGAAATTTGTACTTCCAGGTGCCTAAAAATCGATTATATAATATGAAATGGAATTTAAATAATTTGAATAAAACCGGAAAAAATTCAATTTAAATGAATTGAGTTTATTTTTTTTAGTAAAATATGATGGAATAATGCAAAACTATATCCGATTGTATATTATTTATTACAGTCTTATTCAAATTTTATTAAAATTTAAGCAGCAATTAAAATTTTTGATTTTGCTATTAAACATTTCTTTTTAAAATAAAAGCAAATTACTTTAACTCATTAAACATGCAAAAATTATGCAAATATTTTTCTCTAAAATTTTTTAAAATGTAAATTTCTAAAATAATATAAATTTTATTAAATTTTTATATCATTTATGATATATGATTGATAAATTTTATAAACCTCAGGAAAGAATTGTGAAGTGCAAAGTTCATTGGTAACTTGTTTAGGTAATCCGATAATAGAACTACTTCTTGCATCACGTGTTGAAAGACCATCAGATGAATTTGTTCCTGATGGATCACTTCTGTTAAAAAAAAACAAAAACAAATATTGTAATAGCATTAACAAATAAAACGTATAAACCGGAAAAAAAAGACGGAAAAAAACCGGAAAAGAATTGTCCTGCTCATTTAATTAAATTTCATAATGCTGTATTACATTAAATGACCAAAGACAAAAAAAAAAGAAAAAATACATCCAATTTATTGTTTCGTTTCAAAATTTTTTAAAAAAAAAGAAAAAAATTTAAATTAAATGAATCAAACTATTTTACTTTTCTCGTTCCAAATGTCCACGATTACTACGAGTTTTATCAATGCTTCCTGATATCATCATATCATTTCGTCTTGATAAAGCTGTTGTTTGTAGCAATGAATCAGATGATAAACTATAGCATCTATAAATTAAATTTTAGCAATTAATTAGAAAAGATTTCTCTTCTACAGATTAATGAGTTCTTTGAAGAGAGCTATGATGATAACATGATAATAAAAATTTCTTAAATGATAAAGCATACTTAGGCTTTGAGAATGCTAGATTTTAAGCTAACTTTGCTAATTATCATGATGTATTGTATTGAATAAACGCATATTTCTTTAAGCTAATTTGCTAATTATCTGCAAACATTATATTGAAAAAAAAGGGAAAAAAAACAAAGAAGCTTATTTGCTTAGGCTAATTTCTTTAATTACTTTAAAGATTATATTTTAGAAAAGAAAAAAAAACGACATACTTATTGCTAAATCGAAAAGATGAAATATTTTGTTGCCTCATATTAAATTTATTTTCTTCCAACTTTTTAGCAACATCTCCTAATTGTAAATCATCCCATGCTAATGGTCGATATTGAATTTTATCCAAAAATTTTCGATTTTCCTAAAAAATTAAAAAAAAATTTTTTTGAATTTAATTATAGCAACAATTATAAAATATTAGTGAAAAATGAAATTTAAAATTTCCTAAAATTTTTCGTTTCATTTAATTATAACAATAATTATAAAATGTTAGTAAAAAGTGAAATTTAAAATTTCCTAAAATTTAAAAATTTTTTTTCATTTAATTATAACAATAATTATAAATATTAGATAAAAATGAAATGGATAAATTTAAAAATGAAATGAATGATTCGAAAATAACTTTAACCATTTTGCTCGAATATAATTTTAAACGTGGAATATTTAGCATTGAATTAGTACGTGAATGTAAACGATATGTGATATTTTGCGAATTTCGATATATTTTAATTTCGAATAAACGATTTAACAAATATTTTAACGCCCAATAAACACCATTTTCAGCCCAATATTTAATTAGAAGACAACGAATAACAGCTACATCCATATATGTTGCTTCTTGTGGATCAACAAATGACTGTAATTACAAATTAATTATATTAAATTAAAGAACAAAGAAAAATGAATTTTAATTTTAAAACAATATTGTAATATTAATTAACTAATTAATTGCCAAATAATTAATTTATCTCTTTTTTCCTCCCTCATTTAAAAGTTTTTTAAATTCAATTTCACTTTATTAGCAAGTTTTATTCAAATTTTAAATGAAATCGTTTAGTTTTTTGCAATTTTTTTTTTAAATTAATTAAAATTTCCATTTTTACCTGTTGTTGTTGCATCGCATCATAATCTTCTGAAATATTTTCCAATGGATCAAATACATTCATTGGTTCAGTATTTTCCTGTATTCTAATTATTGTTGCATTGGTTGGTTTTGAAATTACTTCTTCTGCAATGTCACCAATGTCTAATAGCATACGGTATTTTTTTTTTCCAATGACTGTACAATAAGAAGAGAAATGAAAAAGAAAAAAAAAAAAATTTGAAAAATAATCAAATTTTCAAATTTACAAGCAAAAGCTTTTAACAACTTATCAGTACTTTGTTTGAATTCCGGTAAACCAATACCGGAATGAGTTGTGGAAATAGTGGGAATAATTTTGAAACGTGAAGCAACCGGATGATGATTGCATTTGCAAGTATTCACCGTTGAATTATCGCAATGTACTATCGTATGACAACTTTCACAAGCAATCTCAAATTTAATTTTAGTAAAATGCTAATTAATGAAATGTAATTAAAATAATTAAAGTCGGATAGAGCACCTTATTTGGCAAAAAAAAAAAATACTGAATTCATTAGATATTTAAGTAAATGATTACTTAGATGTTTTTTTTATTTGAAAAATTAATAAAATTTGGAATGAAATGATTGTAATGAAAACAAATAAATCATATGATATTAGAATATCCCGAAAAAAAAAAAAGATTCTCGAAACTTTTGGATAGTGATAGAATCTGTTTAATTTTATTTTAATTTCAAATTTTGAAATTTAAATATACCTTATGACCATTATGTGAAATATTTTCATTATCCGCTGAAATACCGGAACATATTTCTTGCAATACTACCAATGGCGCTTTTTCCGCCGACATTTCCGCATCATTCATTGCATTGCTAAGTGATTTATCATCCGTAAAATTAAGTGCATCCTCAAGTTCTGTCATACCTTTGCATAAACCTGAAAATAAAACAAAAAAAAAAAAAAGAAAAGAAAAGGAAGAAAGTCATAGGATTTTTATTTTTAATGTCAAATGACAAATTATGTGACAACAAAATTTATGAAATTTTATTATATGGTGACAAAACTTGTTATAATTTCATTTTTTATCTTTCCAAAATTTTGGAAATTTTTAAAAATTTATGAATTAATATGTTAAATTTACTTATAATTATAAGACAAACTTGGTGATTTCTCATCAAATGCTGTCGTATGACTTTTTGTAAATATTAATGGAATATCATTTGTTTGATAATCACTAATACTTCGAACAATTGAACATGATCGATCCATTTCCAAATTATTTAATGACTTAAAATACATTGAAAAAATGTAAGTAAAGGATTCGGAAAGTTTCGTGTAATTTTTGAAAT